CTGTTCATGCCACAAGCCAGGCCTTCGCAACACTAGGTGCCAACTGTTCTGTTTGTTTCTTTTCTTTGATTGTTGTAATTCTTCTTGCTACTATTCTTACCGCGCGCGACAAAAAAAGAGAGAGAGATATATATATATATATACATGTCATCCTGCTCATGTTCCTACCCGACTCAACACGAGTAGGGACCCGTGCAAAATTAGCATTTCGGCACAGTTGGCCGCCTTATCCTTGCAAGTTTCGATGCCCTACCTAGTGATGGCAATGTTCCGCTACAGTTGCCTTCGGTACGGTTGCCCGTAGTATGGCAACATTTCGGTACAGTTGCCCGCCTGAGCCCTTCTGGCCTGCTTTGCAAGGAAACCGTTTCGGTACAGTTGCCTGCCTGAGCCAGGCAACATTTGGGACTGTTGCCCGCCTGAGACTGCGCGGCCTGCTGTCCTGAATCTTGTGCTGCCTGGTCTGCTGCTTGGTGTCCTGCATACCGTCACATGATGCGTTCAACTTTGTCCTACGCATGTACCTACCCACTTGTCGGGTGGGGACAAAGGCTCTTCTGCATGTCGCCGGCGGCTCCAGCTGTGGCCCGTGTGCAGCCATGGCTTGTTTGAGCGGACAAGCTCCGGGTAGCACGGGAGTCCAGTGATTGCAGGCAGCTTTTCGGGAGGCGGCTCGAAAAGTGCACCGCGACAAGGGGGGCTCAGCTGCTGTCTGGCCTAGCAGATGACGCGCAACATGTGCATGATGATGTGAAGCTAACGCTGCGGAAGGATGCTCCATTACGAAAAAAGTGGCAGGGTCGGGGAATCGGACTAGCACGACCTGCTTCGCTTCAGCAGACCTGAAACCATGTTTATTTCCTCATGGTGTTCTGGAATCGCAATGCTTTTTTAAATTAAATGGGGGAGAAGGTTCCGAGCTGCCATTGCCAGGGTGGACCTGTATGCGTGCGTTTAGGGTAGACCCAAAGCTAGGGTTTAGCCGCGAGTTCTGAAATCGTGAGCTTAGATGCAGGCAGAATCCGAAGCCAGGACGCAGCTGTAACATCAACGCTTGCCTGTAGCCTGCTTGCCCCACGCCCGCAGCCACGAGCACCACGCCTCCGGTCACTAGTCAGTGAAGTCAGACATTCAGACATCCACGGTCGCTAAGCTTTGCGACTGAGTGCAAGGCCCTGCTTCTGCAAGATGTGCACGGCATGCCGTGGCAGGAAAAGCAGAAGCAGGAGGTGAATCTGCGGGGGAGCGACCGACAGTGAAGCTTCTGCAACGCCTGCGCACGGGCCGCAGAGTCTGCAAGTACGACAACTGCAGCCATCGGCCCCAAAGCCAGCAGAAGTACTTGGTCAAGCGGCTGCGCGCCTTGCGAACGCGATGCATCTGCACGGTTGCCACTCTACAACGAGATCTGCAGGTGCGCAAGAAGGTGACATGTCGCGAAGTGCCTTGGCGCTGCAGAGAGGCTGGGATTGTTCCGCGTTGTGCTGCGCCTGTCAAAGGCAGGGCCACGTGAGCGACTGGTTTGCTACATGGATGGTGTCGTGCTATCGCTCCAGCCCAGGGGTGCGCTGCCTCATCATGGGGATTCGCGCGTGTGGCGACAGAGGCTGCTAGTGTGCGGAGTTGGCGAGTCAAGCTCCGTTCCTCGAGCAGACGCCCAGTGATCGGATCGTGCTGCTGCGGCGTGGTCTGTAGCCTGCCGGCGTGCGTGGAAGCTGACGCCCGCCCAATGGTGCGACCTGGTGAGGCAGGGCAAGCTGAAATAGGCCATCAAGTCTTTGAGGCCCAAGAAACTCAGTGGGCTTTTGGCGGTCCTGTGCGATACCGAGTCTTTTTTGCACGCCGCTGCCAGTCGACGTGCCACGGCTGCCGATGGCATCCGTGTCTGGAAAATGCCGGAGAATCGTCGCAAGACTTGGCGAGAGGTCTTGGCGAAGAAGGGTGCCGTGGCCCGAGTTTACGAGATGGGTGTTGTTATTCGTGTTATTCATCATATGACTGTTATTGTTGTTACAATTGTTATAGCTGTTATTACATTCTTAGTATTGTTATTGCTGTTATTGTGGGTATTAGTGACATTTAGCGATTTTGTTGCGATTAACTTTTTTGTTACTGTTATTCTTGTTATTGGTGTTATTGTGCTAATGTTATTATTGATCACTGCCGTTGATTTTGCGTTTGGCGCCCTAAACCCTAAACCCTAAACCCTAAACCCTATTACTCCAAGCCCCGAGTTTAAAATATGCCCGAGCCTGGGTTTAGGTTTTCAAATTTAGGGTGTCCCCTAAGCTTCAAGCCTGAAACCCTAAACCTCTCACTCCCCCGCACCAAATCCCGAATCCGAAGCACCCAGAAAACACCCTGTAAATAAGCCCCTGGCCCTAAACCCTAAGCCCGAAACCCTAAGCCCCAAACCCTAAACTCTACAAGCCCCCCAAGAAACCCCAAGTCGCCCTGCGATGCCCTTTTCAGGCAACCGCGGCCCTCAGAATTCACGTTGCCCAGAATCTTCCAAAGCAGCTGAGTTAAGGAGTGTTCCTTACATCCAGCAGTCTTAAACTGGCTTCAACTTGTTTTTGGTTAAATGAGCAATAATCGTTAAGGGGCTCTCTTAGTACGGTCTCGAGGTAAGGAATCTTTCTTAAACCTTACAGGGGATCCTCGTTCTGAATGTAGCTCTACCCAGGAACTCCAATACCCCTTAATAAAATAAGGCATATTCCTTACTAAAAATGTAAGAGGGTTTCTCATATGGTTTTAAGGACTATTCCTTAATTCAGGAGTATTGGAGTCTCTTGGTAAGGCACAGTCGGTATAGTCCTTAAATTCAGCTACTTTGGAAGATCTTGCTGGAGGTGTCTCTCTGGAAAGATAGGCGGCCGACGTTTTTCTAGGCGCATCCGTACTGATATCTGTAACATTGTCGTTATCTATCATTGTGCTGCTCTTTCTGACAGCAGCTTCCGGCTAAAGTCTCAGGTATCTTCAGCGGTAAGGAAGCTTCTCTTGAAATGCAGGTAGACACATACTAGTAGCAGCTGATTCACATGAATTGCATCAGTCGAACATTTGCAGGAGTCTTTCAAACCTGGAATTAGCAGTCTTGCAGCTTTAGGATCTCGAGCATGTAAACAAAGTTCAAAACACTGCGTTTGTGGGCGCAGACGATCACAGGTCCTTAAAAAGGGAACCAAAACCCAAAACCCTAAACCATGTGAGTTCAAGATATCCAAATTGGAGATGAGTGTGTGGTTTTGTCATGCCATGCTGAGACGGGGCTGCAGCTCACAACGAGACCACTGCAGGGTTTGTTCAAGGATTTATGGGTTTAGGATTTGGGGTTTAGGGTTTAGGGTGTGGGGTTTAGGGTTTAGGGTTTAGGGTAATGCAGATGCGTAGAAGGCGGGGCGTGGCAGCAACAAAGCGCAAATGTAAGTGTGCATATCACACTCGCCAGGAGTCACAAAATCCCTTGGGTTGGGCTGACCATATCGTCCTTAGGGAAACCGAGTATGACAGATAGAACTGATCTTGGCGTCTGGCCCCCTCTTTCTGAGACACGTGGAGGTCAATGATCGTGCGCCGCGGCTTCTTTCCCTAAACATGAGACCACGCACCCCGGACCCGAAACCCTAAACCCGCAAACCCTCACCTATGGGCTGACAAATCGTTTGACAGTCCCCCGCACCCCTCAACCCTAGGACTCCCTATTTAGGCGACTTGTAACCCTACTTGTATCTATCCACACACCCCTCAACCCTAAACCCTGAAGCCCGAAGAACAACAGCCCTAAGCCCTGAAGTCCCAACCCCTAAGTAAGTCCTATGTCCTAAGTCCTAAAAACCCCACAGCCCCAAAGCCCTAAACCCTAAACCCTAAACCCTGAGCCCTGAACCCTAGAGCCCTAGACCTGAAACCCTACAGCCGAAAGCCGAAAGCCCTAACGCCGTAAAACTTGGAGGACTCTAGGCTGCCTCCTTCGGTCCTGTTCTCGAGAGGGTTTAGGGTTTAGGGTTCTAGGGTTTAGGGTTTAGGGTTTAGGGTTTAGGGTTTAGGGTTTACGGTGTGGGGTTTATTGTTTAAGGTTTCGGGGCGGATCATTTTAGGGTTTTGGGTTTGCAGGGATACCCCTTGTGGTGGGATCAAGGATTTATAGTATTCTCGGCCATATTCGGGGAACCCCTGTTTTGGTAACTGCCCAATCATCAGATGTTGCCAGATTGGTGTTGAAGGCAGCTGTGCTGTGCAGAACAGTCTCGCGAGACTTTGCGCGCTGTTTGGCTAGCTGGCTGTGGGGGAAAACAGAGCACGTGTTCGGTGTCAAGAACTAGATTGAAGGTTCTGGCCCTAAACCCTAAACCCCAAACCCAAAACGCTGAACCCTAAACCCCGTAACCCTGAGCGCTAGAGCCCTACTTGGAAACCCTCTTGACTTAGTAAGTCTACTTAGTATCCCCTAGAAACGCTTTAAAAATCCCCAGAACCCACCTTTAGAAGACCTTAAACCCTAAGCCGTTAGCCGGAAGCCCGTTAACCCTCAGAAACACCTCAATGAAGGAGTATGCCTTATGTTTTAGGGTTCTTTTTGTACATACTTTCTTCAGGAGTATTTTAGGGTTTCGGTTACAGGGTTTTGGTTTAAGGGACCGTGTACTCGATGACTAGGCTGGGTTTTCGGTTGAGGAGGGTTCATGAAGAAGTTGGGTTTTGGGCCTTTTGTTACCATCCCAAAGTCCAGTGTTTACTTTCTTGTGGCCAGCCTTCTCGTTCAAAGTTCCGGCGAGCCACCGACGTCCACGCCTGCACCTCAACCCGCGTAGCGACTGTGGCAGATCCGAAAGCCCAAACCTTAATACTTAAGTTCTTTTGCTCTGAAAGACCCTACAAGTCATCCTAAACCCTAACCCCTAACCCTAAACCCTAAACCCTAAGCCCCCCAACCCCCAGACTCATAAATCTGCTGCACACATCGTTGACCAGCCTTGAGCGATGGCTTGGGCATGTCGTGGAAGGCCCAGACCCTGAACCTTAAACCCCATGCCCTAAACTAGGGTTTGGGGTTTAGGGTTTGGGGTTTAGGGTTTAGGGTTTAGGGTTTAGGGCTTAGGGCCCTAAGTCCCAAACCCTAAGTCCCAACCAAGACACGGTGGCGTGCTGTGCCGCGGTGGTTGTTTTTTAGGGTTTAGGGTTTAGGCTGTTTGGGACGTTTCCAGAAGCAACACCGTCCGACATTGCAGACAGCCTTACGGAGTTTGTGTCGTCACGAACGTCTAAAGTTTCCCGCAGCCGAGCCTCTGTTGCAGGCTGAGGGCTTGACCTCTCCTCCCTCCCCGTTAAACTTCCAGATTCTTCGCCATCTCGGGTCCCGGCCTCTCTGCCCTCTCCACCTTACATGTTTAGGGTTTAGGGTTTAGGGTTTAGGGTTTAGGGTTTAGGGTTTAGGGTTTAGGGTCCTTACATTCCTCTTCCTGACTGCTTCTCCAGGCTCCTCGGCTCCGTCATCGGTCTCGGGTTCCGCGCTGCAGACTTTCAGGGTTGCTTTAAATCAGGCTTTGCCGCGACTTCCGTCTCTCTTCTGATGACAGCAGCTATGTCAGGCGCTATGTCACATCCGAGGAAAATGGCATCTGGGGGCATGTTGGGCAATGCTCGGCAGCACTCGGAAACATTGACATGTAAATACTTGAAACATGATTACTCATTAGTCAGCAGCGGCGCACACGTGCCCCCTAGTGTGGTTCACCTGCCTATGACCGCCGTGCTGAAAGTGTTGGGAGAGGAGTTTAGAAGGGAGGAGAGGGCGGAGGAGCCGGGACACACCCATACACCTTCCTCCCCTTGCCCTTCCCCTCGTGTTCCGACATCGCTGCCTACTTGCCAGCAAACTCAGTGGGCGGAGTCGTGGAAGTTTCCAATGGCGAGGAGTGTCACACCGGGCTTTGGCGAGCTACAACACCACCTGCAGACAGGTTCTGCCTTCCCTCTGCGATGGTGACAGCGCCAAGAATACCAGCTTCTGCTAAGGTATCATCACGATGGCAACATGCTTTCCTTGATGAATATCGTTGGTCGTTTCCCCTAAACCCTAAGCCCGAAGCCCAGGAGCATTTTGCCGAGCAGCTCTGGCCTTGAACAAAGACGAGAGTGAGCGGAGACGAGCACTAAAACCCTAGACCCTAAACTTAGTAAGTGAGTAAGTACACTTTGCACTTTTTGGGATGCTATAGTCCCCTGTAGAACTGAAGTGTACACTTTTTTGGGGCTTAGGAACTCAGCAACTAAGTAAACCTAGGCACCCTGCCCTAAGTCGGAAACCTCGGCGTGCACTTCAGTGCCGGTTCCTTGCGGACCCGCCAGGGTTTAGGATTTAGGGTGGGGGAGGGGAGTTCTGTAGAGGGATGTATACGCAGCGATGAATTATCCTAGTTCCCTATGAAGAACTTGTAGGGTTCTCATGGCTCCCCATACGCAAGCCTGAACAAACCTTGTGAACTCGAACCTTAAACCCTGAACCCTGACACCCTGGTTGTGATGCTCGTTTTTTCTCGCACGGACTCCTGCTGTCAGCTAAGGGGGACACCTCGAAGTGGAGTTAACTCGAAGGATAAACACTACTCGTACATCCTGAACCTAAAGCCCTAACCCTAAACCTTAAACCTTAAACCCTAAACCCTAAACCCTAACCCTAAACCTTGAAGCCTAAACCCGAAAAGATGCCCAAACCCTATTTAACCCCTAAGCCCTGGCCAGGTGCCGCAGGATTGGCCGACTGGACCCAGCCCCGCGCCTTGCGACGCCTGGGAGGCCCTTGAAGCCTACTTCAAAGCCCTGATTCCTCTAGCAACCTTAACACAAAGCCCAAAACCCTCAAAGCCTCAAAGCCTTAAATCCTTAAAACCCGTCAAGCCCTTAAAACCTCAACCCCTTTAACCCTTCAAACCCTTAAAGCCCTTTAAAACCCTCAAGACCGTCAAGCCCTCAGAAACCCACAAACCACAAAAACCAAACCCTAAGCCCTAAACCTTGAAACCTAACCCCTAACCCCTAACCCCTAACCCCAAACCCCAAACCCCAAACCCCTAAACCCTAAACCCTAAACCCTAAACCCTAAACCCTAAACCCTAAACCCTAAACCCTAAACCCCAAACCCCAAACCCCAAACCCCTAACCCTTAACCCTAAACCCTAAACCCTAAACCCTAAACCCTAAACCCTAAACCCTAAACCCTAAACCCTAAACCGAAGCCGCGGCCTTCCTCCTGCGAGGGCGCGGAGCCCACCGAAGCGGAGGCTGCGGACGCTGAAGCCGCAGCCAGAGCCTTAGAGCCTTAGAGCCTTAGAGGGTTCAGGGTTCAGGGTTTAGGGTTTAGGGTTTAGGGTTTAGGGTTCAGGGTTTAGGGTTCAGGGTTTAGGGTTTAGGGTTTGGGGTTTAGGGTTTAGGGTTTAGGGTTTAGGGTTTAGGGCTCGGCGTTTGGGGTTTGGGCTATTCAGGGTGTGGGGTTTCGGGTTCAGGGTTTGGGTTTAGGCTGCTTTTCGGGCTTAGGGCGTACGGCTCAGGGGTTTTGGGCTTCTGAGTTGGGGATGGTACTAGAACTGCATAGGGTTTAGGGTTTTACTGCAAGGGGTTTAGGATATGAAGGTGCATGCCTTGTTTTAGAGGCAGGTGGCGTCCTTTTTCTTGAAGAGTTGGAGGGGTAGGGTTGGCGTTCGTGTAGATCCTTCTTTGCGAATTGCGACACCCTATAAACCCTAAATGGGGTCCTGCACCTGCCCGCATCGCTTCAGAGCTCTGCGTCCAGAACTTTTACATCTGAAGCCATGAGGCCGTCAGTCCGTTGACTCGTACACATTGGGATGTTCCCCCCTATACTAACAGTCCTTAGTAGGGATTATCATATCCGCCCCCCCCCCCCCCCCCCCTGGTAGAATCCCTATTAAGGGCTGTTAGTATAAGGGGGAACATCCCAACGTTCACATACACATCTCATAACGAAAAGTTCTACAGCACCACAGTTTACTCCACCGTATAGGAGATCTGCAGAGAACTAGGTCGGCTTTTGGGATACTCATATATTTTTCCTTCTTTGGGGTTTATAAGGGGCCCTAGACATAAAAATCTTTCAAAGGGCTGAAAAGCCAACCCAGACAAGCATGTTGGCCATGTGCCTAGGTTTTTTTGGGGTTGGGACGTGCTTTTGACCTCCAAGCGCAAGGGTCAAAGGAGGAATGGGCACCTTCAGGGTGATTTAGGGTTTAGGGTTTAGGGTTTGGGGTTTGGGGTTTAGGGTTTAGGGTTTAGGGTTCATTCTGGAAAATTTATTCTTGGAAGCCTGTTTAGTGTCCTTATGACCCTACTTAGAACTACCCATGAACCTCCGGGGGGCCGTGTGTCCCACCTCGCTCACTCGTGGTACGAAGTTGCGTGAGGCATCTCGAGGATAAAACGTCGAAGCCGAAGTCGGGGTCATCTAAGCCGGTTTAGGGTTTAGGACTTAGGACTTAGGGTTTAGGGTTTTCGTGTTTTAGGGTTTTAGGGTTTTAGGGTTTTAGGGGTTCTGACTCCCCGCCCTAAGGCCGGCGATGCCTACTTCGCAGAGGAGGAGATCGCCAGCTGGACGGGCAAGCAGGCAAAGTGCGAGATGCATCTCCTACTCTAGTCCGTATTAAGGACTGCAGGGCTGCAGGGTTGGCAGGGCTGCAGGGGCGGCAGAATCAAACCCCCCAAAAGCGTCGCTTTTTCCCATGGCCGAATTTAAGGCCCATGGCCGAATCTAGGCGCCTGTGGGCTTTTCAAGGGCCTCCGGTCTCCCGAAGGGCGGAACCCAAAACCCTAACAGGCAGAAGTCACAAAATATATGAGACTCTTGAAAATGTACCCACGGAGTATGAGGCTGTCCTGTGGCTGCTCGAAGCGGGCAATGCCTTCGAGGTGGCCCTACAGCAAGGGTTAAGGGTTTAGGGTTTTGGGTTTTGGGTTTGAGGTTTAGGGTTTAGGGTTTAGGGTTTGCCATCTCAATTATTCAGGATGTGTAGATGAAATTATAGAATAGAAGCTCCATCACATACTGGTTCACATTCCGAACTCAAGTCTCTTCTTTATTGGGCTTTCTGGGAAATGCCTGAAGCTTATGAGTTCATTCGGAGTAAGATTGAGGGTTGAGGGTTTGTTGAGGGTTGAGGGTTGCGGGTCGCTGCGTGGCTTTTGACCACAAGCCTGAAAGGGTTTTGGTTTTGGACCCTTCGGGTGTTAGGGTCGTGGTTTGAGGTGCGTCGCTCAGCAATCTAATATGAAAAGGGTGCCCTTCTTGTTTGGATGGGGGGGTGGGGGGTCCCTAAACCCTAAAGCTTATAATGTCACGGATGAAGGGCTCCACATAAAGAGACCCCCCCCCCCGCCCCCCACCCCAAAACAAACATACAAGGAGGACCATACAGCCAGACAACTGCCACCATGGTTGTTTCCCACAATAGGGGTTCTTATACAAAAAGTGCTATAATACGTCTTATTGTGGGAACCCCTAAAAGGGCACCCCTAATTTTTTGCCCCCCCGCCCACACCCCCCCGTATGTGCTGAGCAGCCATGCCGCCTGGTTTGAAGAATCTTCTCTTAGCCTACATCGAATATTTTTGTTACGAATCGAGGTACATACTCTTTCAACAGTACTGTAAAGCCCTAAACCCTAAACCCTAAACCCTAAACCCTAAACCCTAAAGCCTAAACCCTAAACCCTAAAGCCTAAACCCAGGCCTTGGGCCTCCGGCCCAAGCCCACCCCGCCGGCACGATTGCGCCGCCGCTTCCTCCGGTGCCGCGGCGGAGATCTCGAGAGACTGTGCGCCTTTTTAGGGTTTAGGGTTTAGGGTTTAGGGTTTAGGGGCTCTACTTTGTGTTAAAGTTTAGGTTTCCTTGCTGGGTCTTGGGGTTGAGTCGGAAGGTTTGCCGCGAATTTCCCGAACCTCACGCCTGCATACCTTGGACGTGAAATTTTACACTCCGGAGACACAACCCTAAACCAAAACCCCAAAAACCCTATGCGGTAAACTTGCCCCCTTATCCCGTCCTTACAGCCCGAGGTTGTCCCTGCTGACACACCCGGACAAGAACAATGAGCCGGATGCCGCCGCGGCGCGCCTCATGCAGTCGGTTGTCGGCAGAGCTTTTGCTTAGTAGCTGAGTGAGTACACTTTACACTTTTTGGTACTATAATCCCCCACTAGGAATGAAAGCACTGTTTTGGGGCTTATGAACTCAGTCACTAAGTTATGCTCTAAACCACTGTAAGCCATAAGCCTTAACCCAACACCTCAGTTCCAGTTAAAACTGTATGGGGCTCACTGGAAAACCAGGTGCCGCGAGCCCTGCGCCGGCTACCGAAATCGCTCTATGAAGGGTTTAGGGTTTAGGGTTTTAGGGTTTAGGGTTTAGGGTTTTAGGGTTTAGGGTTTAGGGTTTTAGGGTTTAGGGTTTAGGGTTTAGGGTTTCGGGTTCAGGGTTTAGGGTTTAGGGTCTCTCCTTCGTATCTTCCTTCGGAAGCAGCTTGGGGATTTTTGGTGACGGCCGCGATAATTGATGTGAGGCTAAGGGTAGCTGCTCCGGCGATGACCCGGGCCCCCTGTGATCTCTGCCCCATTGTTTTCCCCCAACTCGCTATATGAAGTCGGTTTAGGGTTTAGGGTTTAGGGTTTAGGGTTTAGGGTTTAGGGCTTCTCGTTGTGCTCCTCTTAAACCTAAACCCAAGGCGTGCCTTTCAGCCCCGAGAGGAGAGAATGGAATGACTGACCATGACCCAGCTTCGTGAACCTGAGCACTGCGCCCTGGTGCCAGGCTTTTCGGAAGCTTTCAGACAGCATGAGGCAGGATGCAGTTCTGAGATGACTCCGTGGCATTTGTTTGGAATCCGCGGGGGTTATCTAAGCCCTAAACCCTAAACCTTGCTAAGCCCGAAACGAGTCAGTGACCCATGCCCACTGGTTTAGGGTTAATGGTTTAGCGTTTAGTTTAGGGTTTAGGGTTTAGGGTTTAGGGTTTAGGGTTTAGGGTTTAGGGTTTAGGGTTTAGGGTTTAGGGTTTAGGGTTTAGGGTTTAGGGTTTAGGGTTTAGTTTAGGCTTTATGGTTTATGGTTTAGGATTTAGGATTTAGGGCTTAGTTTTCGCGAGAGTCCTGGCCAGGGTGGTGTCCACGGAGCAGAGCCAGATGGATTTGCTGACTCCTGGCCAGATTGTGACACTCCACAAGGAAACCCCCAATTCCCGAAGCCCTAAACCCTAAACCCGAAACCCGAAACCCTAAAACCCTAAACCCTGAGCCCTGAGCCCTGAACCCTAAACCCTACACCCTACACCCTAAACCCGAACCCCTAAACCCTAAACCCTGAGCCCTGAACCCTCCACTACCTAATAAAACCCCCAAACCCCCAAGCAAGACCGACCTTGCACCCCTGCGCCCCTGCGCCCCAGGCACACAAAGTAGAGTTATAAGTTCCCGACAAGGGACCCTACTTGGGGTTGTCCTACTGACTTGCCCTACTTCGTGCCTCACTACGAAGTCCCCCGACCCTCCAAACAAACCTGAACCTTGCACCTGAACCCCTTGGGTTTAGGGTTTAGGGTGTATAGGGTTTAGGGTTTAGGGTTTAGGGTTTAGGGTTTAGGGTTTAGGGTTTAGGGTTTAGGGCGACCCCCAAAGGGCCGAGCCAGAACGACCCGCCCAGGAGAGGCCTCTTCCCAAGAGTGTGCGCCTTTTGCCAACTGGGGCTGAGCCCTAAACCCTAAACCCTAAACCCTAAACCCTAAACCCTAAACCCTAAACCCTAAACCCTAAAGCCTAGACCCTATACACCCTAAACCCTAAACCCTAAACCCCTTAAAGCTCAGGATTGGGGTTCAGGGTTTTGGGGTTTCAGGGTTTTCGAATCTTTGGGAGGGCTTTTGGGGGTGGGGGCTTTCGGCCGCAGGTTTCTGTGGGCTCAGGGTTTAGGGTTTAGGATTTCGGGTTCGGCTTCAAGGGCAGCCTTTGTACTGGCCTCCAGTCGAACACCCTAAGCCCACGAGCTGGGAGGGAAGCTGCTAAATCTTCTTCACTCCCTAAACCCGAAAGCCTACTAAACCCTAAACCCTAAACCCTAAACCCTAAACCCTAAACCCTAAACCCTAAACCCTAAACCCTAAACCCTAAACCCTAAACCCTAAACTAACCTAAACCCTAAACCCTAAACCCTAAACCCTAAACCCTAAACCCTAAACCCTAAACCCTAAACCCTAAACCCTAAACCCTAAACCCTAAACCCTAAACCCTAAACCCTAAACCCTAAACCCTAAACCCTAAACCCTAAACCCTAAAGCCTATTCCTCTAAACCCTTGAGCTCCTAAGCTTGAAACTCCTAAGCCCAAGCTCCCTAAACCCCTCCTACCCGAAACCGCTCAACCCTCAACCCCTGAACCTCGCAACCCTAAACCCTTAGCCGCTGAATCTCCGGAAGAGTCAGCCACGAGGCCCCCCCCCCCCCCCCCCCGCCCCCCTCCGCTGGGATCCTAAATGTGAGGAATCTGCTGCACCCTTGAACTCTATTGGGTGCCTATGAATATTTTCTTGAACTCCACAGGGATCCTTCTTATGAGATGAGGGTTACGCCCTAGCATGAATCAAGGCATGTGCCGTTATGAATCGGGGTGTTGGATGCTACGGACTCCATGAGCTACTGTAGCAGTGAGGTTCAGGATTTCGCGCCCAGCGCGTTTAGGGATGGAGGATTTAGGGTTAGGGTCGGGGGGGGGGGCAGGTTCAGGAGTTTTGAGTTAGAGCTGAGAAGCCCTAAACCCTAAACCCTAAACCCTAAACCCTAAACCCTAAACCCTAAACCCTAAACCCTAAACCCTAAACCCTAAACCCTAAACCCTAAACCCTAAACCCTAAACCCTAAACCCTAAACCCTAAACCCTAAACCCTAAACCCTACCCCTAAACCCTAAACCCTAAACCCTAAACCCTAAACCCTAAACCCTAAACCCTAAACCCTAAACCCTAAACCCTAAACCCTAAACCCTAAGCCCTAAACCCTAAACCCTAAACCCTAACCTAGACCCTAGAGCCTAGACCCTAGACCCTAGACCCTAGACCCAAGACCCTAGACCCTAGACCCAAGACCCTAGACCCTAGACCCTAGACCCTAGACCCTAGACCCTAGACCCTAGACCCTAGACCCGAGACCCGAGACCCGAGACCCGAGACCCTAGACCCTAGACCCTAGACCCTAGACCCTAGACCCTAGACCCTAGACCCTAGACGCTGGACCCTGGACCCTAGACCCTAGACCCTAGACCCTAGACCCTAGAACCTAGACCCTAGACCCTCGACCCTAGACCCTAGACCCTAGACCTAGACCCTAGACCCTAGACCCCAGACCCTAGACCCCTAGACCCTAGACCCTAGACCCCTGACCCCTAGACCCTACTAGACCCTAGACCCTAGACCCTACCCCCTACACCCTAGACCCTACACCCTCGACCCTAGACCCTAGACCCTAGACCCTAGACCCTAGACCCTAGACCCTAGACCCTAGACCCTAGACCCTAGACCCTAGACCCTAGACCCTAGACCCTAGACCCTAGACCCTAGACCCTAGACCCTAGACCC